ATGGGACGCCCTATATATTTCCACTGATTTTAATCCAGAACGAACTCAACAACGCCTTACTTGTCAATATTTGACAAATAAAGTCATTTTTATTTCAGTTTTTATTTTTCTATCTAGAATGCCATGGATCCTGTAAATCGCCTCATGTTTTATTAAGTAACACGGGAAAAATCCAATTGTGAGGCGAACGACCTTAGATGTGTTTTGAGGATTTTCTGAAAGTTTCAGACACTAATTTTTCCAGTCTTCTGGATTTTTTCAAATGGAAAGGAGGTGGCTCGTCGGCTTTTTCAAAGAGTCCATTTTTTTACGAATAATTTGATACTACTACTCTTATTTCATTACATTCATCTCATCATTTCAAGCAACAAAAAATATTTTTTCAGTTTACTTGATTCTTTCAAATAGAAAGGCGTGACTCGTCGGCTTTTTTCATAGAGACCATTTTCTTACGAATAATTTGAAACTATACACTCTTATTTTATTTTCACTATTTTTCTGAATAATTGTAAGAAACGATCATACCTAACAACAAATAATACGTATCTGCATTCGGTATACCTATGCAATTATTCCTATTATTCTAGTTATCCGTGACAAACAAACAAACAATGAAGAAAAAGAAATGGACGTGTTGGCCCATGTTGGAGGGAACTATAGAATTGAATCAAATACATATCCTATCATGATTATAACAGAAAACCAAATTCAAAAATGTGCCATTAAGGTTCTTAGTATGATCATGGCAAAGTTCGACTTTATCAATTATTGTTGCTTGCAGCACACTGGTTAACTGTTCCGCAGTTACGTTCCGGAATGCCGCCCTCACTTTATGCTCCAGTTCTTCGCGAGTAGTTGGCGTAGTTTTATAAACCTGATTATTAAATGTTTCCCAAAGTAAAAAATCTAGCGGAGTAAGACCTGGTAATTTAAAATATCAAAAATGAATTAAACGTTCTAAAACAACATGCCAATTTAAGGATGTATCTCGGAGACCATTGAATAGCTCCATTAGTGCCAATCCAGTTTTCTGTAAAGGTTGCATTCAGATGTTCTCTTACCGCATAAGGATTGTGAGGTGGAGCTCCATCTTGTTGAAAATAAATATCCTTGGTTAGCCAGTGGCAAATATTCAACGAAACCATTTATTTCATTCGTTAGCAACTGTAAATATCTTTCCCCAGTAAGTTATCCATCGAAAATTATTGCCCCCAAAAGTTTTTCTTCGATAATACCCATCCAGCAATTGAAACCAAATAATAATAATAATATCAATAATAATAATAATAATAGACGTCTTTATTTATCCACAATTACATTGTAGTATAGCCAAATGTCAGACTTATATGGCGAAGTTTAGCATGCTGCTACTCTTACACTTAACCATATAGTCTCTAGCAGATGTTCAAAAGAATATACGTACACTATCCACAAACATATTTGGTTCATTACATCGAAAGTAAAATTTTAAAAAAGAGAAATAGGCATACTTTCCAAACCCAAATGCACCAAAAAATTATTAATCTGAATTAAAGATGGAATAAAAAAGAAATGAATGATTACGTAAATTATATGTTTGGAGGGTTGAGTAATAATGTTTTAACTTTTTGTCTAAAGACAGGTAATGAAAATTCTTTATATACTTTAGGAAGGTCATTATAAATAATAGCAACATTGTAAGAAAAACTGCGTTTAAAAAGTGTTTACGTATGCAGGGATATTCGAATATTATTTTCTCTGAGAGTTCTACACTGAACATCATTATTAAATGAAATTTTTTCCTTCAAGTAATAAGGTTTAGACGTGAGCTGCAATTTGTGAACAAAAACTGAATAGTGATACTTGACCATGTCATTAATTTTTAACCAGTTTAGAACGGGATATTTCGCTGATACATGATCAAATTTACGTAAGCCAAAAATGAATCGTATACAATTGTTTTGAATAACTTGAATAACGTTTTTAGTGAAATTGTCTAAACAAGTATAGTATACGATATTACAATAATTTAGTATAGATATGACCAATGCTTCACATAGTTTTTTACGCAACTTAAAATCTAGTAAATACCTGTTTGCTATAAGAGTGCGTAGCCGTAGGTAGGTTTTCTGAGCTAGACTTTTAACATGTTCAATAAACCTTAATTTTGTATCAAAAACAACACCAAGAATTTTTGCAGAATCAGAAAATTGCAATATTTGGTTATTTATCTGAATGTTCAAGAGCTGTGTTACATTGTATGTTTTTCTTTGTGCGCAAAATAATAACATTTTAGATTTTTGTGGATTAATAAGTAGATTGTGATCTAAAGAGTATTTAATTACTTTATTAACAACGTTTTGTAAAATTTGAGAAGTATTATTGACATTATCTGGGTTAAAATAATGGAGCAATTGCGTATCGTCTGCAAATGACTGGACATGAGAATTATCAATACTTTTGCTTAAGTCGAACGTACATATATATGAGGAACAGAAGCGGCCCCAATACAGAGCCCTGAGGTACGCCTGAGTGAATTGTTGTCACTTGAGACATTTCTTGATTGAGAAAAACACACTGAGTTCTTTGATGAAGGTAACTGTCGAAAAATGAAAGGGATACACTATCAAGACCTATGTAATTTAATTTAGCAAGTAATAATTTATGATTGATGCTGTCAAAGGCTTTCCAATCGTCTATAGAGATTAAGGCTAGTGCCATTTTCTTATCTAAGGCACTTAAAATATTGTCTTGCAGATTAAGTAGGGCAGATGTTGTACTATATTTTTTTCTAAAACCGGATTGAGTGTCCGGAAGTATAAAGAATTTTTGTAGGTAAGCGGTTAATTGGAACTTTATAATTTTTTCTAAAATTTTGGATAAAATTGGTAATAAACTGATAGGTCTGAGATCATTATACTCAGTGGGTTTCATTTTTTTAGGAATTTGAATAATTAGAGCTTGTTTCCATGTGTTTGGAAAGTAGCCGTTAAAGATGTGGACGATGTGATGGAGATAACTGGCAGGCAAAGCTGGATCATTGACAGGGATATACCATCAATTCCCTTCGCATCAGATTTTAGGCTCCCTGTTGCCTGTAATACGTCATTTGAACTAATCTTATTCAATGAAAAAATATATTCAGAACTTAATTTATTTTTGAAATACTTTTCGCAAACTAGTGAATCAACAGGTTTATGGCTATAAACAGACATAAAATAATCATTAATTTTGGTAGGGTCATTAAAACTTGCCGGAAGGGTTGGTTTAGTACGAAAATTTATATCAAGTTGTTTGAGAGACTTCCACAATTTGAGAGACTTCCACAAATTACAATCGCACTTGAAAATTTCCTTCTTACATTAGATGTAAGTTTGTTTGTGACCAGTACCTTTTATTATTTCGATTGAACATACCCAAGTTGGTAAACCGACTTTCATCTGAATAAATAATTTTAGACGGAAAACTCTGTATTTTCAAAAACCAGCTGCAAATGGTGGACGTCAACGCAAAGATGTTGGTGTAATTGGTACTTGAATGAACAATAATAACACTTATCTCACATTCTAAAACAATTGACTCGGTACAATTTACTTGAATACATGCCAACACCTCTATCTCTTTTTCTTCACTGACGATAAAACTAAAGTCTATTCACACTCAGCCGTGACGTGGCAGTGCCAGTTATTCCCGTGAGCTCACAGTGTTTTCAATTCACACTGGTCAGTATCTTTCTCCGTGCACTTGTGTTTCGTGAGGTCGAGATGGCAAAATTTTCAGAGGATGAACTTGCAATTATTGCATTAATTCTGGATTTTTCTTATACTTCAGCTACCACGAAGGCCTGAGGCCTAAACACCCATGAGGTACCGTGGTACTATAGGGGGAAACACAGGGGAAAGAGAGCACACCACATAGACACTGGCGAGGTAACACGTGTGCATGCAACATGCACAAATGCTGGCACCCGCCGGGTGGTACCTCCGCGTCCGACAGTCAGAGACCGTCTACCACCCACGAAAGATGAAGAAGAAACGAGAAAAAAACGGAAGTCCTGTATTTTTAATTTGACTGGTTCTACATCACGGGATGTACGCGTACAAAGTCAATTAGTTTTCATCATTGATGTTTTTGTCCAATTTTATCAAAATATTCACGAAATTACATAAAACGGCCGTGAAAATCGAAAAATATCGTTTCAAAGCAATGCGATGATCTGGATACGGTATCGTCGAGGGCACTGAGAACACGGTCACTTCCACGTGCCGGTCTAGTGTGAATCAGCTCATCCAAATTCCAGGAAGAATGTTTTTAGTTTCGCGCGGGCGGATATACGTGCCGGTGACAGCACTGTCACGTCATGGCTGAGTCTAAATAGGCTTTTATTGGAATTTTATTCTGCTTTATTTCGCATTTTTTGTTCCAGTTTTGTAAAATAATGCCGAGTGGAAACAAACTTCAGCTGCCTCAGTTACCTTACCTGCATGTTTTCTTGCTTCCCCGTAAACCAACAGCATGTGAATTTTCTCGTTTCTAGTAGTTTTTCATCGTAAATTGACTACGTAACAAACAAATAAATTTTTCAAACTGACAGTATTTTTGATAACCTAGATTAGGTACTTGTTGAAGTAGCCCTAGCGACATCTTCAATCGTTTGTCACGGATAACTACAGGTAACCAAATAAGTTCGTGCGGTTGCTGTATATCGCACATTGCGATGGATGTTGTTGATCGATAGCGATTGTTTGTTACCTGTTGTCAATTTAGTATGAATCCTTCTTTTTTCACACACATAAAAAGTTTCTGAAAATTGTTACATACCTAGTTTTAATAATTATAAATGACGACGAATAAAACAGTAATTCGAAGTTGTTTACTGTATGAGTACAAACTTGGTACAAAAGCTGCAGCGGCAGCCCGAAAAATATGTACCGCATCCGGAGATGATGCCGTTAGTGATCGAACATCACAGAAGTGGTTAAAAAAATTTTCTTCGGGATATCTCAGTTTGAGCGATGAACCGCGCGCAGGGAGACCAAAAATCATGAACAACGAGGATCTTCGCCAGGTTATGGACGCAAACTCCAGGACAACGTACCAAGAGCTTGCAGAAATGTTCAGAGTGAGTCCTGAAATTATTCGTTTGCATTTTCATTAGCTAGGAAAGACGTGGAAGTTAAGCAAATTTAATGGGTCTCACATGAAGTGACAAATGATAACAAACTAAGTCGTCTTACCATCTGTTCAGCAAACGTTTCACGCAACGCTAATGAACCATTTCTTAATGGGTTATTAACGTGCGATTAAAAATGGATCTTGTATTCGAATTCTAAGCGTTCCAGTCATTGGTTCTCGCCTACTGATTCGGTACCAAACACGCCCAAGGCTTCCTTGCACCCAAACAAGGTTTTGTTGTGTGTTTGGTGGACAGCAATTGGAATTGTCCATTATGAGTATTTGGAAAGGGGTCAAACCATCGCTGCTAACTTGTATTGTGAGCAGTTTCAACGAGTACAAGCAGCACTCATCCAGAAACAGCCTTCTTTGATCAATACGAAGGAAGTGATATTCTTGCAGAATAACGCCAAGCTTCATACCGCAAAAGTGACCCGAGAAAAAATTTCTGAACCCGGCTGAGAAACGTTACCGCACCCGCCATATTCTCCCGATATTTCGTCCAGTGATTATCACCTTTTTTTGTCTCTTGACAACGGAATGAGGTACCGACAGTTCACAACTCGAGATGGTGTTTTAAATGCAGTCCGCCAATTTTTTTTTACTCCAAATCCAGGAAGTTCTACAATACCGCCATACAAAAATTGGTTCCACGTTGGCAAAAGGTCGTTGAATGTGATGGTAATCACTTCGACCAATAAATAGTGTCTTATTGTATCTCAATAAAAATTTATATTTTTCTACTAAAAACAGCACGAACTTATTTGGTTACCTGATAGAATAATAGGACTTAGTGCATAGGTATATCGAATGCAGATATGTTATTGTTGTTAGCTATATGATCGTTTCTCAAAACAATTCGGCAAAATGAAATAAGAGTAGTAGTGTCAAACTATTCGTAAGAAAATGGACTCTTAGAAAAAGCCGACGATCCACCTTCTGACCATTTGAAAAAATCCAGAAAACTGAAAAAATCAATGTTTAAAATATTTAGAAAATCTTCAAAATGACTGTAAGGTCGTTCGCCTCAGAATCGTATTTTTCCCGTGTTACTTGATCAAAAATGTAGCGATTTACAAGATCCATGGCATTCTATATAAAGTATAAAAATTGAAATAAAAATGACTTTATTTGCTAAATATTGACAACTGAGGCATTTTTCAGTTCAGAATGCTATTCTAGATCGAAATAAATAAGTATATATAGGGTGTCCCATTTAAAAATCGACAGCTGGAGTCAAACCGGAAGTACGTTAAAGCAAGGGAATATGTCAAAAAATGTAAATTCATCTATAATACGCAACCTCTAAATTTCGTTGTTCTATCTTCAATAATAAAAATGTTATAGGGGTGAGCCACCTTAGAATATCACCAGCTATAGAGATAACTTGTTTTAATAAAAAGGTTATCCAGCAACCGTCTTTTCTTCTTTGGATGAAGAACCTTTTCGTTCACCCTCAAGAGTATACAGGGTGACTTCGAAGTTGAGTCATTTATTTCAACAGCGAGTAGATCTGATCAAAAGAAATGTTTTTTTCCTTTAACATTTTTCTGGTAAAACTGAAGCAACAAAGTTATAGCCCTAATAATATTATGTGCTCGTATTTGGCAACAACGGATATAATCCGCCTTATCGGTTCATCGCATCGGAAACAAAAAAGCGAAAGAATTTGAAACGTTTATCACGATGTTTTTCGTCAGTCGGTAACGCGTGAGTGATTAGTGCTGTTTGTTGCGTTATTCAAACGAAATAAAAAATGGCACATGTTTACGAAAATGCTGAACTTGTGGACATGATTCTTATTTGCGGGGGGGGGAGTCTTTCAAAATGCTGCCGCGGCATCACGGATTTGTGCGAATCGGTTTCCCAATCGAGTGCAACCGACCCCTCGTGCCTCTGTTAATGTAGTACAAAGGGCTCGTGAATCAGGTGACTTACGACCTCACAGGGGAAGGCATGCCGGTGCTCCAAGACCGCACGATCAAATACAGGTCCGCACTGAAATACTTGTCGGGAGGATACTTTATAAAACAATGTAACATTTTTTTTTAATTTTTTTTTATTTTTACACACATATTTTGGATTATCTTCCTTCTACAATCATTATCTGAAAATTAATGACTCAACTTCAAAGTCACCCTGTATTTCTTAGGTAAGGTCCGTCTAAACACATTTGTTTTTACAAACCTTGGATACCCTGGTCTATTAGTCCATTAAGGTAGATTCGTAGAGTGCTTCATCATATCAGTTAGTAAAAAGTTCGCCATTGTTCAGAATTTTTTTCGTGCTGCAAAAATATAATCTCATTGCGACTACCAGCTTTTTCGACGATGTTACGGATTATTTCATTTCCCATTTTCACTCCTTTTGTCTCATCCCAATGGTCACTAATCGAGTTGGACATTCTACGCCTCTGCATGGACGCAATTCGCTTTTCACTTCACTCTAATTACGCCATCGACCGTTTCAGTTGTGTCGTGATGCGGGCAGGGCATCCAGCAGCGTAGCCATGCCTGCCGTTGTTGTTTCGGTGGTTTTGTTTAGCCTCCTCGTACCCCTTGTCACCGTAACTTCGGACCTAGACCCCCTCCGTCCGGATCTGTCACACGCCGAGGACGTGCAGCTTGTGTATCCCCAGGTTACTGACATCCGAAGGAGACGAAACGCAAGAACGGATTCTAGCGATGAGTTGATCAAAATTGTGAAACTTGGTGACTGGTTCGTGGAATTGAATCTGTCGGGCGAGTCTATGGTTGGTAAATGGTGACTTTATTCGTTTGAAGATCGCAACAGCATCTTCTCATTTATTCAGGAATAAACAGCAAACTAGGACCACCCAGAGAAACCAATGTGAAGCCGTCTAGCGGTGCAGCGTTTTTACGCTGGTTAGCAGTAGCCGTGGAATGGTTTTCACAATTCGCAAAACTCAACCGACAATCTGTCAAATCTGGTGGTCATATGAAAGCTGCGGTCAAACTGTCTAAGCCATCCCATGATTACTGCTATCCAGCATAAAAATCGCTGCACCTCTCCACCTTAGTTGAACGCATTGGCCTCTGTTCAACGGATCCAGTATATTTTTGTGAGAAATAACTTTCGGGCAATTTTCACGTGTATAACGTATACAACTTATACAGCGAATAAAATATATACAATGTATACAATGCATACAGTGTATACATTTTTTCATTGTATACAATCTATACAATGTATACAATGTATACGATGTGTACAATGTATACGATGTATACAATGTATACTATGTATACAATGTATACAATGTATACAATGTATACAATGTATACAATGTATACAATGTATACAATGTATATAATGTATATAATGTATACAACGTATACAATGTATACAATGTATACGACGTATACAACGTATACGACGTATACAACGTAAACATTGTATACGATGTATAGATGTATACAATGTATACAATGTACGCAATATATACAATTCATACAAAGTATACATACAATGTATACAATGTGAAAATATCAGAAACAATTCTAAATGGAAATTCATCATCATTTTGCTTCTTTGATAATTTGTGGTGTTGTTAACAGGTTACAAGAAATTTACTGTAATAATACTTTCGCTTGGTTAAACTAACAACCTAACCGTAAAAGATCTACTATCTTTTTGTAGAGAGTCAAATTTTCCACAAAAAAGTCTTCTTGCATTTCTTTCATAAAATTGGTGATGGTCGAATAACAAAAGGCGAAAGTTGAGAGCTGTGAGGTGATTTTTCCGCGCCGCACCATAAAAAATATCCATCCCTCATCCATCAATCTTAACTTTTAACTATGCACAAGGACATTCAAATCATTTTGTTGCCTGTTTGAGGTAAATTGCTGATAAGCACGCATCGTGTTAGTGTTTGTACTGTTTCCAGTAATGGAACTGTTCATGCATATCACAGTTTCATTGCATGAATGCATGTGTATAATGCGAATCTCATTAGAGACAAATTATCGAATATTTGAGCTATCTCTTTGTTGCTAATGAGGGTGTGTTCGTTTCCAATTTTCAATCAAATTTATGCAATAGTCGTGCGCCAATTAAGCTTCCGTTGTGGTGCTATGGTGAAGATCTAACGAATTTTTCATGAAAGTCCGCAAGAAAGATAATAGAGTTTTTTTCAGTCCGGAGCGTTGTCAAAAAAAGTCCATATTATCTTTGAACTTAAAATTAAGTGTGATTAAGAAAGAAAAGCCTGAGCAGACTATGCGCGAATCTAATAATACTTAATAATAATAATATCTTTTTTCCTTCAAACAAACAAATTTTGTATAGAAATCGTGAAATACATAAAACAAGATAATAAACAACATTTACATACTGATGTACTCACAAAAAATATACAAACATTTATGTATTAAGAAACCTGTTAACAATACTTACAGTGATTTTGATTTGCTATTCCTTGTATATCTTTTAGAAGGATGTTAAAAAGCAGGTACCGTAGACGCTTAATATTTTTAAAACATTTCTTTGCAACTGTGGGTGTTAAGGCGGCTCCGACGCAGTGAGTTTCAGGCCATTTACAAGGGTTTAGCTGCTTCGGAATTGACGCTCCATTTTTCTATATATTTGAATAAAATTTATACAGTATGTTCAGAAGACAATTGTCCAGGGTGCTATAGAGCCACTTTTCTAAAAAAAAATTTTTTTCAGGAGTTATGGTGGGTGGAAGTGCAGATAATTGTTGTTCGACTTCTCGATTTTTTTAAAAATAACCCAGAGGAAAAAACAAAAAAGTGGCTCTATAGCACCCTGTGGAGTCTTGTTTTTAGTGCACTGTGAAAATTTCATTGAAAAATATTCAAAAATGAAGCGTCAATTTTGAAGCGCGAAAACCTCTGCAAATAGGCTTTTACACGAATTTTATCCACTATCTCGTGCTGCCAGTCGAAGCAACGCGGCGGTGTGTACGGACTAAGAAAGGACGTATTCAGATAATTTGTTGTCCCAAGTTAAACAGTAGCAGTTTTGACGTCGGTCGTTCGAGATAAACATCGGACCAGTAAGTGACATTTTTAATAGACTTCAATGAAAGAGGGGAAATTTTTAATCGATTTTGATCATTTCTTTTTATACAATAGGCCATGCTTCAGAGGTGATACCACAAAAAATCATGTTTGTTCAATCACCCCAATATGGATATCAAATGGAAGCACTTGTACAAAACAGTAATACGAAAACAGTTCCAAATCAAGATGGCGGCCGTCACAAAATGGCGGATAACATACTTGCTAATATCTCAAATAAGAGTCGTCGCCTTGTAGACTACAGTACTTCACTAAAAATTTGATTCCAAGATTGCCGCCGTTTCGAAATTGCCAGTTACATATTTTTGTACAAAACCCCCAATTTACATATCAAATGAAAAGACTTGACATGTGTGGTAAAATACAGAACTTTGTGACCAAAAGTTTCCAGGTGGTTCCAGGGTCATTGGAGGCGGTAATCTTTTTAGTTAAAAATAATAATTATAGTGAACGCATTTAACACAAATAAAATGACACTTGCTGTTTAGCTTTAACCTTATGAAGTATCGTAAAATAAACTTAACACGATAAGCGTCATGAGATATAATGCGTGTGTCGCACCTCATTTGGCGCTTTGGGCCTCGTGACACACATGATATGTCTCACTGCTGGCAGTTATATTTGGCCGCGTAACGTAAGACGTGTGCCATGCTGATGTGATTTTCTTACGGGAACCAAGAGGCCTGAGGGATCAAATTATACTGAATTGGAAATGAAAACATTAAAAAACACGTTGTTTATAGAGTTTTACAAAAAGAGGATATTCTACAAATCTAAAACAAAAAGCAAATCTTATAAAATAATCAGACATTCTCATTCAAAAATGAAAAAAGTAATTTCACAGCAAATCAGTAAGTTATGGTAAATGTCGATATTCTAACGAACACAAATATGGAGGAACTCTTATAAACTAAACAGATTCACAAAGTCTTATGCAGGAATAAACAAAATACCGGTATAAATAAACAGTAATACAGATAAATATGGAATTACTACAACTACTATCTGATTCACTACCACTTGGAGAATACGCATCAGATAAGTATACATCCCCACATAACTCAGTACTGCCACTCTCTTCATCCGATAGTATTTCATTACACAATTGTTCAAGCCTTTTTTGCTCCGGTTCGTAATGCGACATCACTAAATCTGGTATTCAATAATTTATAAACAGTAAAGCAATTTGGACAAGATGACGTACAATACCAACAACGCTTCAATAATAAATGACACGAAACAGTGCTCAGCGCGCGACATGATGCAAGTCTTGACTTGCAAAAAACGCGACGC